AAAATTGGGTCGATTGATCACAATTTTTTCTTTGTTATTTTTTTCCAATGTCAGATCCTGATTTAAATAATGGATCAGAACTTTTATAATTTCCAATGCTATGACCAATATGTCATATTTTTCAATGTAAGGAGTAGGGGCAATATTAATAAGGGCCAAATATTAGTGCAAATTGAAAAGTTACCATATAAAAATAAGAAGATGTGGTATGATGGCCAATGGCACAACTATCCACAAGAGACCAAATGACACAGAAGTTAACAACTATAGGTCACCGTTCTGCTTTCAACAATGAGCAAAACCCATACCACACAGTCAGCTATAAATTTAGGCCCTGAAACGACAAATGTAAAACAATTCAAACGAGAAAACTAACGGCCTAATTTATGTACAAAATTATGAACGAAAAACAAATATGATACCCAGCAACAAACAACAACAACTGAATTACAGGCTCCTGACATGGGACAGGCACATACAGAATGTGGCGGGTTTACACTTGTTTGAAGGCGCCAACCCTCTCCTAACCTCGGACAGTTAGTCAGGTGTACTACTTGTACAGTTTATGTTCATTTACTTGAAGAAGTAGATAATAATATACAGTTTATATAAGTAAATTTGTTAAATTCATATTTTCTTATAAGATTTGAATAATCTCCCCTTAATTTTCTCAAAAAATTTACTTGTATAATTTTTTTTTACAATCCCTAAAATTCTCAAGTTTTGGAATGTAAAAACATGCTTTAAACATTTGTTTTCTGGTTAGCTTATAATTTTTGATCAGAGTTCAACGTTTCATCTCATTAATTCAACAAAAAAACTAATTGCACATAGGGGTAGGTCTTAAGTAATTGCACAAGGCATTCAAAAATTGCCCCATGGAGGATTGTAAATAAGCAGTGTTTTGAAGAGAACAGACAAATGAGATTTTCATTGTCCATGAAATTACACTTAAATGATTAGTAAAGACATCTGCAAAGGACAGACAATTAAAAATTCTATTAGAGCAAAGAAGTCCTGAGAAATTCAAGAAAAGAAGATAGTATGACGTTTTTACTTGTATAAGTAAAAAAATCTGAATGTCTAAGGGACATAACTACAGTGTAAGCCATTAAAATAATTTACCTATACAAGTAAATAAAATACACTTGTATAAGTATCTTACAAATTTACTTATATAAGTATATTAATATTTACTTCTTCAAGTAAATAAAAATAATTTGTACAAGTAGTACCCCTGACTGACAGTAGTGAAACAGTACAACATAAGAACAAACTATAAAGATCAGTTGAAAAAGGCTTAACTCATCAGATGGATACAAATAGAAATACATCTAACAGAGTGGACGTGGCAGGAAACTTATACATACCCACAACAAAAAGACACTAATATAAGTACAGATCTGAGAGTACTCACAGTTACTGACAGCTAGTTCAAAGCTAATAACAACTAATAAAAAAAATCATGCATCTAAGACTTAAAATATCAATCGGTACACATCCAACATCCAATGGATTTAGTGTACAGATGTCATTAACAGTCAGAGTAAAACATGACCTTGTGCAATACCAAGATACAGGTATCTACAGATTGTAGAGCCATGAATGTGCATATGTATATAAAAATAATAATTAGTTTGATTTTAATTTATTGATAAGAAAATCAATATTAATACAAATAAAAACAATATTTAAAGATCTAATTACAGTGTTGAATTGTTAGCCTTTTAGAATAAGTTTATTTAAAGGATCGATAAGTTTATTCGAATGGTATCTAAATTTCCGGGCTCGGTAAACAACATCTCCGTAAAAATTATGGTGTGCTATCCTGTTTGAAATAAGTTTTCTACAGGTACAACCAAACTTCAAAACCAAATCTTTATATCTACGAAAGAATTGAGCAAAGGTTTTAAGTAATTTGTGGTAACAAAATCCCTGACTTAATAATTTACCAGTAATACGTAGATTACGTTCATTGAAATCCAAAACATCACAACAGACATGGGCATAGCGAACGAGTTGTGATATATAAACACAGTAAGATGGTGCCAAAGGAACATCACCGTCCAAAAAAGGAAACTTAACAATAGGGAACGAAAAATCATCCCTTTTGTCGTAAATTTTAGTGTAGAGTTTCCCGTGTAAAACTGAAATATCTAAATCTAGGAAAGGACAGTTATTACCATACATATTCTTAATTTTCTCCTAACTACAGAATGTACACCAAGGTACAAGGTATTCAGAAAATGTTACCAAATTTTTCATTTTACAAGTTACCATGGCAACAAATCATGACAAAGTATGTGTTTTTTGTAAAATATCAAGATTTCCTTGTTTTACATCAACTTTTAAGTATAATTAGTCTGGAAAAGTATGTGCACACCCAAGAAACAACTTTAGATTTGGTGAGCTTATGTCAATAGTTCTCTTAAATTATTTTGTTGTTTCTTGGCTGCACATGATGATTCCACAATGGTAATAAAGGTGGAAATTGCATTAATTTTGCAGTTTTCCTCAATTTCATGAAAGTCATGAAAGTTTATATTATACATTTATTTCCTTTGCCTGAGGGAGATATGAAGATTTGTTCACCCAAGAAAATTCTTATTTCATGAGGGCATCGCCTGAGGGAAATAGGACTTTTCCAGGCCTAACAAATCTTCATATCTTCCTAAGCTGAGGGAAATGACCGATTTCAATTCCTATACTTTATAACAGAAAATATATATTTGCAAACTATTTTTCTTATCCACTTGTTTTATAACTAAACACAACATAAACAATGATAATCAGTACCGATCAAAAGTTAATAACTTATTCTTTGTATTTTGTTTTTAGAACTGAAATAATTTTGAACACAAAATTACTATATTACATTTTGTACTAGATATCTCTATTAAAAAAAAACGTTCAAAAGGTTATATACATTAACTGTGCGTAACGTAGCACAAGGAAGTCCCGACATTCAGAGGGGAATATGAAGTTTTGTTCAAAGTCACGTGGAATAGTCTCAACCAATCAAATGTTGGTTTTGCTATTAATATTTACATGCAGCGGAATAATATGACTTAATTATGACGTCATAACATCAATTTTAATATGACATACTTCTTTCGCTTTGTAAACAACACTGTGATAAAATTCTCGATATATCTATACTTAGTGCAGACTCAGAGTTGAACATAATAATAGCTGTTACAATATACTTTCCACGTAAATCCACATGTATTTGAACCTATACTATGTGCAAATGCTATGCCGATTTTGCTGTGTTAAAACTGCAATTGAAAAAAAACTACAGAACCTTTATTCTTATTCTGATGCATAACAAAAAGAATTAATGCATTAGAGCTTGGACAAATGTACAAAATCAAAATAAAATAAAATTCTGCGAAATTCCATTAATGTTTTAGGCGCATTAAAGTCATTTTAAAACATGACGTCATATGAATGAAAACGCCAAAACTGAAGGCTTTTCCGTTGTGTTAACCCTTCAAATTCGGGTAATATTGCATTAAAATGGAGTTTTGATGTAGGTGTTGTTTTATTTTCTATTCTATTGCATTATTCACACATTTACTGATTTCAGCAAGTCAACATGGCGACTTCTTAGTTACGAAATGTCACTTGTGGATTTGACGGTAGCTTACGAGAAAGAGATGTAAATTAAAAATGGCAAATGTTGGGGTTGACGCTCAGAATAAAATTCGAATATCACAGCCCAGGCCATGTGAAATTTCCAACAAATCTATGGCTTTCATGAATTATTTCTTAAATATCTTATGTAAATCATTTATATTTCTTGATTTCATGCATATAAGTTTCCAATCATTATGTGCAAATTTTAAATGATTTTCAAAAACTTAATTTTTTTATGCCAAAACAGGGCCTTAATGCCTAGGTCCTTCTTTAATTTAAAGGAATAGTGGCATTAAGGACTGTTTGCATAAGAAAATGAAGATTTTGACTATTTAAACTATAGAAATTTGCACATAATGTTTAAAGTTTGGAAACCATAAAGTCAAGAAATATGGATGTGCACATACATGTATATATATATATATATATACACAATTTTCCAACCAAAATATATTTAAAACTTGGTGTAAAACAAGGAAAATCAAATTATTTTACTTAATATACAAAGATTTGAATTCTAGAGTCTAAGTGTGTATTGTGATGAGTAATATGACACATGACTCTAAGCATGCTAAGGTATATAAATATGATATATTATATACAGTCATTATTGTGAACTTCAAGGTGGTTTTCAACACAGGCGTTGGGTACATGATACAGAAATTATATTAGTAATTCTTTACTTAAAAAAATATTTTTCTATGTTTATACCACATACATGTATCTATCACTATTGGGCATGTCTAACATAGTTTTGAGGGAATTTACCAACCCTTTTACAACCTCTTGTTTTATTGACCATATAATGATAAACAGTTGTTTTCCCTGAATTTCTCTGATCAAGCTGTGGACATATACAAATAATTGGCTTGGCTTGTTCAAGAGAGGAATACAGCTGCAGCCAGTAGAAAAATAAATTGAAGTTGGTGCTCCAGATATTTATTCCATAGCAACAATTTAAACCAATTTTACACAATGCTCCTATAGCCTGCTGAACTCATCGTTATTAGGAGGGAAATAACATTATGTGGAAATTTTGTTTTTATTTCAATTCAGTTTTATTGTTTCTATTTACCAGAATGTTCTCTTGTGAATTTATAATTGATAGAATGATAGATTCCTTGTCAAAACAGAAAAACATTGAAAAGATCAAGTTTTCAGTGTTTACAGGGGAGGTAATTTTTGACACTATATTTCCCACTGCTTGGAAATTTTGTATTAACTACTGTATTTTCAAGACAGGATACCTGTTTTTACTTTTTTATTTTTAGAACAATAAACTTTATGTTTCATGTTAAGATCTGCATGGTCATGGTTGTATTATAAAATGAAAAGTTGATTTTTTTTTTTTTTTTTTGCAGGAATCATAAATTGTAAAAGAAGAAATGACACTATATTGTGTGAATGATTCATTCAGCTCCAAAATTCAAGATGCTATCTTGTCTGTTTGTGCAGAAAACTACTCATCACAGGGTATAGAGGTAGATGGTATTGTGTGTGTCACTTTCAGAAACCCTGCCACCAATTGTGTTGTCAGGATACACGAAAGTCTTGGAAAAGAGCCAAATTACGTTCAGCAACCAAAAAGACAGGATTTTTACCAGGATGAAAAATTGAATAAGCAAGTGACACAGAATACAGTAAATGAAAATAGACTTGATGACCAGAATGAACATAATGAACAAATGTATTTATATGAACATGGTGAAGATAATGATCTTCAAGATTCTTCTGAGCATTTACACGATGACCATGATGACAGAATGCATTTAATAGCTAGATTCCCAAGAAGTCATGCACAATATTTTGAATCAACTCAAATTGAAAACTCAGAAAATGAAAGAGTTCAAGATATAATTTCTCAATCTTCAAATTCTGACACATTTACCCATTCGGAAAAACCTATAAGTGGCCTTGCCTGCCACACAGATAAATACAATCATACGATTAAGATTGAGAAGGAAGATTGGAATGGATCAAACAAATCTAGCATCATTAATAAGAAAAGTAATTTAGAGACGATCATTAACAGGTTCACCAATGAAAATAATGCCATAGTTAGGGATACCATGGATACAGATAAAGAACATGCTGATCAGGGACAGCATTTTGAATCTGATATTGATATGTACTTTGTTGAGCATAATAATCAGGAATCAAACATGAATTACCATGAAGATGAGTCTGAAAGTGAAAGCAGCACGGCTGCCAAATATGGTAATCCTGTTTGTATAGACCTCAGTGAAACTGATCCAGATTTAGTTGAAGTTCGGTCAGAAATAGAATCTCGTTTAAAGGCAGAAATAAACAGGACACATGGAAAATTTAAAATATATGACAATATGCAGACATCATTTGAGACAAACAGAACAAGTTCCTCCTCTTGTACCTCTCAACAGACACAACATACCTCTAATTTAGAAAATCCAAACAGAACAAACACAAAATCTCTCTCTCAAATAAAGCAATCTTTAAAGGGATGTTTTGGGAAATCAAGATATCGACATCATGGAAATAAGTCGATGCCCTTGTTGTCATTTGAACAAAAGAAAGTGTACTGTAAATTCTGTGGTGTAGGATTCACAAATTCTGGAAATAAAAATCGCCATGAGCGTTCAACATGTGGTGCTGTGAAATACAAATGTGAGTTTTGTGATTCTTTGTTCAGTCGTTCCGATAGCAGAGCAAGACACATGCTTTATTGCCATGGTCTTGCAATCAAAGACAGATTATCAAATATATCACCAAAGAAATCTGGTGGCTCACCTAAGGATATCAAATTAGGATTATCGTCTACTTTAGCTTCAGAAAATCTGCCAAATTTTAAGAATTTTTCAGATGCCGATGTTCACTTTAATTCACCAATAGATATTCAGAACTCTGAATCTTTGTTAGCAGTAGAATGATATCATTTTGTGCCAATATAGAATAGAAATTGTCATTAGAAATAAAAAACAATGTATTTTATTTGGATTTACAGTAAAACCTTGCAGTGAAGGACAATATTAAAGGAACCATCATTAATGAGTCCCCTCATGGGAGTGTCCAAGTAATCACAAATGTTTTGCCAATATACTCACATAATCATTAATTATTTTTTTTAAACAAGATAATCAAATAATCAAAAATACAGTCCTAGATTATCAAATAATCAAATAATCATGAAATATTTGGTCTGGTAATCATATAATCACTATAAAAACGGGCAAGTAATCACATAATCAAAAACCCCATGAGGAGGGTCATTAATCTTTCCTTCAAACGTTTTGATCAACATGTTCAATCACCATTGCACTGGTGCTCTGGGCCCATTGAGCTAGTTTGAGCTTTTCTTGATTCTTGGCCTCTATTGTTGGTTGTCTATCAATTAGTCAAAATATTTATAGGAAGCATATCTACAGTTCGCTATATATCAAACTTGGAAATGTACAATCATCATTGAGACGTCTGTTTCAAAAATCTTTAAAAGATGTCTGCCAAATTAACATGATTAACATCATGAACATGGCTCTTGTAACTAAAATAGGACAGAGGGAAAGGAAATTTGTACAAAATTCTATTAAAAAGATACTCTCATGAGCCTGAATCGATCATCTGGCATGAATATGCATCGTCAAAACTATAAGCAAAAGTAGATACTAAGTAAGAATATTACCAGGTTTGATCCAGATCCTATTGGAGAACATTTAATACAATGTAACAGGCTAAAAATTGTGGTGAAATAAGCCTGGGCAATAATCCATCTATCGATTTTCTTGTAGATCATGTCTCTCTTCTAATTTTTCCAAGTTTGAATACCCTCTTTTATATAGTTTTAAAAGTAATTGTAAAAATTGGCAATTTAAGAAGCTAGTTAACAATTTCGCATGCCTGCATGAAAAAACAGATATTGTGTAAAATTTTGGAAATTTTTTTGAAATGAGGAATAAACCTCACTCATCATTCTCATGCAAAGCTCTGATGCCCGGCTTTGGCTATACTTGTTGTCGTTTGTGGTTTATAAGCTCTTCATTTTTAATAAGTTTTAGATTTTCAAATAATATTTCCTCGAGCATCACTGATTGATTGATTGATTGGTGTTTAACGCTACATCCAGCACTGTTGTCCTATTTCGTGGAGGAAAACGTAGTTAGATATAAGAAGATGTGGTATGAGTGCCAATGAGACAACTCTCCATCCAAGTCAAAATTTATAAAAGTAAACCATTATAGGTCAAAGTACGGTCTTCAACAGGGAGCCTTGGCTCACACCGCACAACAAGCTATAAAGGGCCCCAAAAATTACTAGTGTAAAACCATTCAAACGGGAAAACCAACGGTCTAATCTATATAAAAAACGAGAAACGAGAAACACTTATGAACCACATCAACAAACAACTACTGAACATCAGATTCCTGACTTAGGACAGGTGCAAACAATTGCAGCGGGTTTAAACGTTTTAATGGTACCAAACCTTCACCCTTATCTGAAACAATACCGTAGTGCCCGGAAAGAAACGGCATGTAAACTGACAATCCTAGTCAATTAAGATTTGAATCGAGCCCACCTCTTACGTGCGGAATTTGAAAACACAACCTCAGTGTTGACAGGCTGGGTATACAGTAGTTGGAACACTTACACCACTCGGCCAATGAGGCCCCAAACATCATTGAAGAGAGGTTTGTCGAAATGCGCTTCTGGTGCAGAAAAATTTGTATACCGTGAATGTTATTCGGTCATACTGACTTATTTATAAATCGTGTGCTGTATAGCAAATACCAACTGACCTCAATTGTATGGTTGAGTGAGTGGTTAAAAACTATTTGCTTTAGTTGCTTGAGTTTCTTTCTATCTATAACAGGACGATAAAACTAGGAATATGGGGAACCGTTCAAAGTCTACATGTCTGTCTGACAGGGTTCACATGACGTTAAACTTACGTGCTGACATACGTTTTTTAATGTTTTATTGGAAACAGATATCTTACAAATTGTCTCTCCAACAGGTCTTAGAAAACAGAGTTTATATGGAAACGCCATAGAGTCTGAATATTAAATAAAAAAAAAAAAAAAAAAAAAAATGGAATACAAATGTTTAGGTTTATGATGTAACTTTGCAATTTCGCTGTTATTACGCAGTATTGTTTCGTGTATATTCATTGATATATTGTTTAAAAATAAGTTCAATATGCCAAAGGAACACAAACAACTCACAAGTCGAAAAGGAACTGACTACGTATACGCCGTGGCAAACAAGACGAAAAAACAAACACTTAAAAAAAATTAAAGATGTGGTATGATTACCAAAAAAACCAGCTTTCCAACACAAATAACGTAAAAGGAATCAACTGTAGGTTCCTATACGATCTTCAACAATGAGCAAAACGAATATCGCACAGCGAGCTAAAAAAGGACCCGACATGACAAATGTAAACAATGCAAACGAGAAAAAGAATGTGTATTTAAAGTACACAAAACAATACAGAGGAAACAAAATGTAAAGAATGTACAGAATGTAACTTTCACTTACTTCAAGTACAGTTTTATTAGTCACCTACCGGCAAAAATTAAGGGGACGTTAGGTTTGTTCTCCGTCTGTTCGCCCGTCCGACCGTCCGTCCGTCAGTCCGGAAAATCAGTTTCCACAATTTTTTTCTTCGTGCTTACAGATATTGATTGGATATTTAGTATAAAGTTTTATCATGGCCTGTTACAGATCAAGTATATATCAGAATACTGTTCCTGTCTGATGATTTTGTGCAGAGTTATGGTCCTAATATATATATAGATATAGCTTTAAGATACTGATTTGATATTTGGCGTATAGTTTAACAATGACAAGTTGAATTTTGTTCGGTTTGTATCATTTTATTGCAGAGTTATGGTCCTCTGACTTATACGCCAATAATTAGCGTTCCGCTCTTCTTTTCGTCATGCTTGTAGATATTGATTTGAAATTTGCAATGCAATACTCTCAATGCTGTTTTGATTACTAATAATTAAACAAACAACTATAAACACCTTCAGAATAATTCGGGACAATAGAATCATTTTATTTTCAAAACATAAGACAAATGGCAGGGTCTACTATTCGAAGAAAAGGAAATGTGACCCTAAGGTCACACTGTTTTTATTGCATCCTTATATTTCAGTTAACATTTTATACTATTCATGTACAAAGTTTAAGCAATGCAACTACATTTTGCAAGTCTTTTCCTTTTTTTGATTTTATGAATGTAATGTTTTATTTTACCTGCATCATAATTTGCTAAATATGTACACAAGTATGTAAATAATTGCATAGCTCCTAAAAGTCATGTTTTTTGGGAGAAGCGGATTGAGTCACAAAAACTGCTTCACAATAACTAATGTTGTCACAATAAATTATTACTCATCATGCACTAGTATTTTACGATATGAATAACCTCTTTACAGTAACCACGTGAATTTATTTTTGGATTGAAATTTAGTAAAAGCCTGCTATTTGTTTTCAAAAGCAATTATTTTGGGGTTATTTTACTAAAAAGTCCGAATTTCTGTTCTATTTTTGTCTCGCCTTGACGGAGTCAAAAAGCGAGACATAGGTATGCTGTTTCCAGCGTCGGCGGCGGCGTCAACAATGTATTAGTTTGTGATTAGGTCTAGTTCATGGTGAACCACTAGTGGTAGGTCAATGATATTTGGTATGCAGTTGTATAAGCATTGGTACATCTCATTACCATGGAGATTATTTGGCCCCGCCCTCTCAGTCAAGGCCTATTGACTTTGAAACTTTTCATAGTTTACATGTATTAGTTTGTAATTAGGTCAATTTATGGGGAACCAATAGTGGTAGGTCGATGATATTTCGTATGCAGTTGTATAAGCATTGGCATATCTCATTTCCATGGAGATTATTTGGCTCCGCCCCCTTAATTAGTCATGGTCTATAGACTTTGAAAATTTTGCTAAGTTAATATGTATTAGTTTGTGATTAGGTCAGTTCAAGGGGAACCACTAGTGGTAGGCCAATGTTAAGTTGTATAAGCATTAGCACATCTCATTTCCATGGAGAATATTTGGCACCGCCCCCTCAGTCATGGTCTATTTACTTTGAAACTTTTGCTTAGTTTACATGTATTAGTTTGTGATTAGGTCAGTTTAAGATGAACTGCTAATGTTAAGTCAATGATATTTGGTATGCAAATTTATTGGCATTTGCAAGTATCGTTTCCATGGAGATTACATAGCCCCACCCCTGATCATGGTTCATTGACTTTGAAACTTTTACATAGCTTACAAGTTAATGTTTGTGTTTAAATTTGTTTAAAGGGCACGACTTATATAATGAGTCAATGGTATTTGGTATGCAGTTTATACCCTTATATACAGGTTTGACTATATTTCTTATAAGAGTGTTATATAACCATGTTCGCAATATATTGTCATTTTGAGTTTGTTAACTGAGTGTATCATTACGTGAATTATTCTCATTAGCCTTCTCGAAAGTATACATCTTTCATAACGAAATCTTTTAATTTTGTAAAAATAATTGCAACCGTACAACTGCACGCAGATTTACCTGAGACGAGTACAAAACTATAACTTCTATATCTTCAACTTTTAAAAACGTACTTGAACTTTGAATTTCCTTTTAAACAAAATACATGGAAATATAAATTTAACATTCGTGGAAAATATTTTCGATCAGTAGTACGATGGATTTTAATTCATACTGACTCGACATATTTTGCGAAGTTTTCCATGTAATTTTCATTTATTTATACTTTAGAATATTTAACAAGAAGTAGAAATGTGGTGTGTACAAAATGTGCTGTAATATATACTTCATATATTTTATATCTTTATATAATTATATAAATATATATTTATGTAGAAAGTCTTATAACAACAACACTGGAGGGACTGCTGCAGAAAATTTATTGATCGACATGTTTCGGTGCCTAGGGCACCGTCATCAGGATACAAATAATACATTGAACATACTTA